ATATTTGTATGCACTTTTGCAACTGAAGGTGATGGCCAGGCTCTTTGTATGCTGAGAAGTTTGTGTCTGTTTTTTTTTTTTTCTTTTTCTTTCTCTGCAAGGGAGAAGCTGAATTCTATGAACCTCCTCCTATACATGGCTCCGATAGCTGTTGTAATTTTACTCCCAGTAACACTTGTCATGGAAGAAAATGTGGTAGGTATCACAGTGGCTCTCGCCAGAGATGACAGTAAGATCATCTGGTACTTGCTATTCAATTCAGCACTTGCATATTTTGTGAACCTGACCAACTTCTTGGTTACAAAACACACCAGTGCTCTTACTCTCCAGGTACATCTTTGATCTTGCAGATTTGCGAACTTTTTATTATTTTCTTTATGCCTTTTGCAATTATCATATAATACTCATGCATGCCTTGGTGAGTCAATTTGATGAAACTATTATTTATTCTAGTGAAAGGCCAACAGAAATGAGATGGTTTAGTTCATGGTGATGCCTTTTAAGCTTTTAGAATGTGCGGAATCTTTGGCTTCTAAACGTGTTAGGTTCAATTCAATGTAATGAGTTTCTTTTTTGGCTGTTTTTCTGTGAGTTTCTTTCCAGAAGCTATCAGCTCAAGATCTGTCCTTTTTTTTACTCTAGAAATAGTTGTTGACACACAATTGTTCAACCTTTCAATTATATTTCTGTGTATTTTCATATAGATGATAGACTGCCAGATCCAAAGAACAAGATTTGACTTTGTACATAGGGTTGCAGATTGTTAGGAGGGGCTCACTAACTGGAAGATTTAATTAGATTACTTGATTGCCTCTGTTTTTATTGCTAATTATAGTGAATAAAGTTATTGAATTTTATTACTAGTGGAATATCTGTCAATTCAAACAGAGATGCTGAGATAATTCACGTTACAGTTACAAGAAGAGCACACGGACTGGTAAAAATATTTATTTTAGAAAAACTCAACATGAGACTGAAATCAACAAAAGGAGTTTCTCACTGTAAATCTTGGAGGGTAGATCAATATTTGCTTGGCTGAATAAGTATAAACTAAGTGCCCGTGCTTTATAAACTTCAAATGTCATTTGAGTGCATGCTTCGATCTTTATTATTGCTGCATGTGCCATGTTGATGTATAGCAGAATGATTAGATTTGATAAAACGATCTTCCTTTAAAAATAAAGATTGAAGCTTTAGGATTGAGCAAGGAGCGATAGACAAAGAATGATGCAGGTTAAAGTAGTAAAAATGATTCAATATCATCAGCTCACAGCTATAACATAACTTCATCGAAGATTCCAACTAGTTTGATATCATGATTTCCTTAAACTAATAATAATAAAAAAGGTTTTGCTGAGTTGAACTGTTTAGGTGCGGTCTCTCATTTTGGGTTTATATTGTCAATGAATTTTGATATTTGTACCCATGTTTTCTTCTGTTGAATTGCTGACATTTCTGCCTCACCTTTTAGCATAATTTTGAGAGGCTATGAGCTTTGAGCTAACAAAGAGCTCTTGTTCTTCCAGGTTCTAGGTAATGCAAAAGGGGCCGTGGCTGTTGTGGTCTCAATTTTAATATTCAGAAATCCTGTGTCTGTTACCGGGATGCTTGGTTACTCGCTTACAGTCTTGGGAGTAATCCTCTACAGCGAAGCCAAGAAACGAAGCAAATGATGCGTGATTCTAGAAAAGCTTGGAGTGCCATTTTCACACTCTGTTTATGCCAGTGCCAGACGGCAACAACCTTCCTAGGGGCAAGTTTGGGCTGTGGTTGGTGCCGTGGATTTTGGATCTCCGGATTCAATTTTTGTGCTCGGGAAACCCTGATTGATTGGTTTACTTTTGTATCAGCAGCAAGAGCAGGATTGGGCAGAAGTAGAATACTCAAATAATTGATTGATTAATCTCTACTATTCAAGCTTGGGGGCTGTGGAGAAATATCATTTTTATCTTTTATATTCTTTCAGGAAAAAGATCGTAGAATCGGGTCGCTACCCCATCAGTTTGTCATTAACATTTGTCATATTGATCAATTAATGAAAGGAACACCCAAAAACTTCACTATTTATGCATTTGTATCCTCTGTTATTGAGGTCTCCAATGGATGAGTGCTGGCGAGGGTTGCCGTGTTTTGTTCTCCTAGGGTTTCAGCATTTTCAGAAAGGAATGATCAAATGGTGGGCAATACAGGTCGCTCGTTATATCGGATGAGATAATAATTTGTAGCTAACCATAACATTGTCGGATTGAGTCGAGCCGAGTCGAGGATTTCATTACGTTTTAAAAATTGATAAAATTATATTTTACTAGAAGGGTAAATAATATGGCATTACATCGCGACCTGAACACGACACCGTTGCCTTCCTTAATTCTGGGGGGGAGGGGGGGCACAATTTGCAGATGAACACAACTACAGTACAACCCTTTCACCCGGGAGAACTGGTAATCTTATTAATTATTCTCTTAGATCCACTGCAGACACCAAAATAGAATATAGAAATTAAAAATATCTATTTGAATCTTTTTTCTATATGTTTATTTTAAATAAATTATAAAAATAATTAATAAAATACCACTTATTACCTATACTTGTAAGATTAATACCTCTCCCTTGTTATCTTTCTAAAATTTGTGTTTCAAAAATATTTAAAATAATATATTTATTTTATTTTTTTACTTAAATTTGTTTTAGTGTTTTTATATTATTTTGATGTATTAATATTAAAAATAATTTTTTAATAATAATAATAATAATATTATTTTAATATATTTTAAATAATTTTTTTTAAAAAATAACTATTACAGGATTTCCTAAACCCTGTCCCAAAAATAAATATTAAAAAAACAATAATTACTCATCGCTCTCAATCAGAACAATAATGTTGAAACCAACGCTAGTGGAGTGAAGTTTATTGAAGAAAGTTCAGGAATCAATCAAAGACCTGGTCAATGATGCCGATCTTGACTGTTCCTCCTTTGGATTGTCTCCCCAAGCCGTGGATTTTAGCCGGCACTCGTCTCCCTCCTCCAATCTGATGGCATCCAGCATTAACGCTGCGATCGCTACTTCTCCATGGACGTGAACTTGGCTAACATGGACAAGATGTTGAAATGCGCTAATAAAGATGATATTGTCACCTTCAAGGTGGATGATGGCGGCGATTCTGTCACGTTCATGTTTCAAAGCCCTAGCGAGTGGCAATCACTCAGTTTTTCCAGCTATTACAGCCGAGTATGTTTTTTCCTGTTTGGCCGCTGAGAAAGTGAGACACAGCGGGATTCTTTTGTTTTGTTTCTTTCTTTGGTTCGTATATGATACTGTTTGTTGGCATATTACAAGTGGAGATAGAGAATACTTTTCGCACAAGTAGGGCTTGGTTTGTGTTGTAATTGATGCGTATAACCTTAAGTCGATTTTTTCTGATTTTCAATCGCTTATCGACTCATCAATCATCACTGGACCATTGCCTTTGCTTTGGAATACAGTGCGGCTTAACTTCTGTTGGAAATAAATCAAATAATTATTACACGGAGACCTGTTGCAGCCAATCTTACCTTCTTCATAAACTCCTGAAACTATTTACTTAACCGATCACTGATGTCCTTAGACCACTCGATGGTCACATCACACCCACTTATTCGTCGGAAACTGCAAATTGATGGAGCTGGATATGAAGGGATATATAGCACGAAAGTGTCTCGTTCGGAGATGAATGTTTGGGGAATGTGCTGCGTTTTCGAAAAATATATACGCAGCAGAGAGGTGTAAATTTGTTAAGAAGTGTCTTAAACTAACCGACTAACATAATTAACCATTATTCATGTTGGAGTCTCGAAGCTAAGTACAACAAAAGATAGCATCTGACGTCTTTAGATACAGTGCCTTCAACTCTGCAAGTTATCCTTGAAGGCATCGAGATTTTTGTTCCCGAACCCCCAAACTGAAGCAATTCTTCGTTGTAACTAGTTTCTATTTTAACAGCACGGATTGGGAATAGTAACTCGAGCATCTAGAGCCACTAGGATGGGAAATTTTAGAAGAGAAATAGAGTAACTCGAGCATCTAGAGCCACTAGGATGAGAAATTTTAAAGGGCTAAATGAGTAGTTATCAATAACTACTTTATAGAAAAGAAATAGTTAAGAGTAAATAGAAACATTTCTTCTTAGACAGCAACTTGTGCTTGACATCATTTGTTGTTGTTCTTTTTTTTTTCATCCGCCAACCTTGCTTAACGATAATGGAGGCATTATAAAGAGCATAAGATTCTTGACATTAAATGCAGAAACCCGATATTCATAGGATGGCCTTGGAGAAGTCCCTCTTTCCATCATAATAATACAATCATTTTCCATTCAAGATTTTTTTTTTTTTTTAATAAAGTCGCTGAGATAATTGAGCTTTTACGCCTTCTCTCTCATAGTCTCATGTTTAGAATTGCGCGCAATTTCTTCTATATACCTTTTTGAGAAAAGCCTCCGCCATTGTGAGTCAATTTTTCTACAAAAACTGTTATGCAGAATCAATCTACCATATCATTTATAAATTATAACAATAAATATAAATATAAGATATATAGATAAAATACAATGTTACTCGCTGGCGATAAATGCATTTTCATAACGTCTGTTTTATGTTTATTAATCTAGTCTACAGTGCAAGTGATAGGCTAAATCGACTAACATTCTTCATTTTTTTAAACCTTGAGCCCCTGTCCTGGTTTCAATAAGGAAGCCCCAGTGGACATGGGAACCACCAAACACTCGCATCGAAAGCAATAGTGGCCAGACTTGGAATAACAAGAACAGACGGGTAGAGGATGGGGTACTCTTAATTACCATTATTCGATGAATGAATATGGTTGGGCTATGCAATAAGGTCTTCTTTTATGTGGAAATATATTATCTTAATCTTCTTCCAGCCAATCATAGACAAGAAACAAGATGATGTTGGCACGTAGGGGACCGCAACGATTGGCTCGATATTGAGCACTCACGGAAATAGACATAAATCTCTGTCGTTCTCAAATTATCAATGAGAACACCATAGAGTTTGTGGAATCCATTCCCAACTATGATCCAAAGAAACTAATAATTGGATGACAACGAGATCCAGTCAGGCATAAGTGAAAAGAAAGAACGATGCCGTAGGAGTGAGTTGGTTAGTGGTGTGATCGGGAGGGAGAGATCGAGACCAGTTATCAGGTGCAACCGGTTATCAGGTTGCACCAAGTCCGAAACGCGCTTCAATCAGGCAGGCGAAAAGGAATAATGAACTCCGTTAGTTTATCAGGCAGGTCCTCTAGAACCATCGGGGTATTCATTTCTTGTTTCTCTTTCTCGTTGAAGAAGACAACGTCCTGCAGTTTCCGGGTCAACAAAAATCTAGCCAGGTTCAGGGTTAGCAGGCAATACTGGTTTCCACGTAAGGATTGAGCTTCTCTCATGTTGAGCCTCAGAGAATAAAAGTCAAAATCATAATCTTTCAGAAAGAGATGATGGTTTAGAAGATGCCTAAAGAGTGTAATGTAGATGATTTTTAATATAATTTTTTATTTAAAAATATATTTAAATAATTTTTTTATTTTAATATCAGTATATAAAAATTATATAAAAAACATTAATTTTATTTTTTAGGTTAAAAACACTTTAAAAAATATCCAAAAATAAAAACCTCAGCAATTAAAAATCTATTTCGGAATATGATTGCTATTGTTTTCTAAAATATTTTTCATACCGAACTAATTATATTAAAATGATGTTTTTCTATTTTAAAAAAATATTTTAAAAATTAGCATATCAAAATGATATAAAGTATATAAAAAAATATATTTTTGAAAACATGAGATTACCAACACAACGGCAGCCTGAATCTACACCCCATCAAATCTCGATCAACCGGAAAGAAAATGTGGGTAGTCTTCTCAACTTAGACAGACTGGCGCTCTGGTCCAAAACGAAGCAGCATGCTTCTTGAAAACAGACAGCCCTAAAGGGCTCCTGTCTGGATTTTGACGCTTCCAGGCACACACATCTATAAGCCAGGTGTTTCATGGCATGACAAAAACATAGGAAATACATGGAAAGGGAATACTATCAAGATCTAATTGATCTCTTCCCATACCAGTAGCCCCTCTAGCCTAGCCTAGGATTTAGAGATTTGATACATAATTACTGCAGGAGCCATCTACAGCTCATTGCTGCTGATTGTACTGATAAAGAAAGACAAACACGGACAGCTATGCCAAAATCAGAACATCTACAGCTCATTGCTGCTGATTGTACCGATAAAGAAAGAAAAACACAGACAGCTATGCCAAAATCACAAGATTGTTAAACAGACAAGGTGAAGTGACAGGAACTCAAAGAGCCTTATACAACTCATTTGCACATCTGCCAAACCCCAATTATGTCCTTCCAGGAAGAGACAGAACTGATTATATGCTGCATATTTCATGCAACACGTTTAAACTCACCTCTTTGGACTAGGCAGCCTGCAATTCATACAAGCTCATTGAGGTTTCAATGCATGTGAGCTTCTTTGAAGGGAATCACCATGAAACTGATCTATATGTGCACCAACATTGTTTGTTGTGTTTCCACTTAATGATAGACTAAGACCTGTCAAATTCAGATCATTGCTGTGCTTGTCCCAAGCTGCTTTGAATTGCAGGCCCTTGCATCTTCGGATACCAGGAAAAAATAAAATGTAAGCAGCTAAAGCAAATAGATAATTATTGCAGAGTACACTCTTAAGTAGAAAAATCTAATAATCCTTACTGCTGGAGCAAGATCAGTATCTCAAGAACACTTGATCTGATTTGTTCCCGAGCTACTCTTAATGCTGCTTCCTTGTACAGCAAAGCAAGTTCATCCACCAATCTGAGACCAGGACAGTGAGTTATAAAATCAGAAGCAAAAACTGCTCGCTCATCTAATGAAAATTTCATATGCTTGGAGTCACGGTTTGGCTCCAGAGAAGAAATGGAAATCACAGTTATTCAGGTCTTGGAGGAATGCAGGACATGACCATCAGACTGCTTAAATCAATTGAAGGTTAAAAAAGAAATTTTTTTTCCTTCCGATTCTAGCTAAAGATTCCAAAATGATAGACTAATGAAAAGCTAAGACTGATTAAAAAAATCTAGAAGTGTGTTAAATAACAACTTTTGGCCATCCCAGTGTAATGACATATTTAAGTGTATTTATGGCATTTAGTGTTCGGTCCTGATTAAAAGATAGTCATTGGTTCACCTTTCTAAATATGGTGTGTTCCTTATCCATGTCAACCACATAACTGTATGGACTCGTTTAAGAACCTGCACGAAGTCATCCATTCTCCCAGGAATTACTCATGAAAATCACAAAACAAACTTGAACTAAGAAAATGAAACAGAAAAAATCAACATAATAAAAAACTACAATTTCACTGGATAATATGACAAAACAAACTTGAACTAAGAAAATGAATTAGAAAAAATCAACATAATAAAAAAACTACAATTTCACTGGATAACATGAAAATTTCTTTTCTAAGCTGGTAATTCACTAGAAACTTCTATTAAACAAGGACAACTTGGGGAATATCTATATAACAAATATTAATCTGCGTAAAATCTAATTGCACACTAAAACAAGGACAACTTGGGGAATATCTATAAAGCAAATATTAATCTGCATAAAATCTAATTGCACACCAATTGCAATATCAAGCCCAAAAGAATTATCATGGGTAGGCATGCACTCTTACCAGCAGAACGGTTTCATCATCATCAGCATGCAGCCACTTAAAGAAAAGTGGAAAAATTCGACTAAAATGAGCCACCAACACAAGGCCAATACCATGTAAAAGTGGTTCTACAAATTTAAGCCATGCAACACGGCGATCCTTGTTCCTTGGTTGACGCTCCAAGTGACCTAGCATCTCACTTAGCATCTTCTCAAACCTGAAAATAAAGTATGGCAACAGAAAACATTGGTCAATAGAATAAGTATATAACTGGTTTATCAAGTGATTGACAAAAATATTACATGCATTGAGGAAGCATGTTTAAAAAGAAAAAAGAAAATATGCGATAATTTATTGCATAGCAGTTTAGTTATTTTTTATCAACAAGAAACATTACAATAACCAAACAAAATGCAAAATAGACATGGCCCGCTTAGTGACCTGAAACCAGGAAAAATAGTATTACAAATGCAGCCCCCACTAAAAACCAAAATGCTTACAAGTCCAATATCTATTTCTTCTGAGGTTTGAACCCCAGTGCTATAGCTAATAAACTTTATACATATCTACACCATCCCAAGAAGACATCAAAATCAACTACTGCCAGTTATAACATTCAGATCGTGTAGCCTTCTACCTACCCAGTTTATAGAAAGCAATGGTAATGGTAAATATAGTTAGAAAGCTTACAGCTTTACAAGGAAAAAATAAAAGAAAAGATACAACAGTGGAGAAGGTGGGTACCAAGGGCTGCGAGGATCGCTCCTTTGTATACAGGTCACAAGGAGTACAGACATCTCAACTACATGGCACCATATCTCATCATCAGAAGCAATATTCTGACAGCATGCATCAAGAATCACATCTTCATACCGACTCAGTTCAGCAGCATTCATGTTTTTTGCAAGATGTGTGAAACTTATCATGCCTTGTCCCTAAAACAGGAGGAAAAAAGAGTCCTGTCATGGAATCAACCATAACACGTAGGTTACTCATTCTATATTGTCTCCACATTATCCCTTTCCATTATCATAAATCCCAGCATACATAAAGACAAAATTTTAAAGATTGAAATGCTTAGGCATGTCACAGTAAGTTGACATGTGGAAAGGTGAAGGGTTTGCAATGGTTCAATATTGAAGAACATGATTGCTTTGAAATAGTAGATCTATTTCCTCTCCTACTCAACTATAAACACTCCACCCCTTGTATTTATATTGTTACACATTCTTTTGAAATACTATCCAAAAAATTCACATGCAGTGAAGCAGATGCAGAAACAAAAAGATTGAGCAGTTCCAAGCATTTTTAAGGTCATCAATGAAACACAAAAGCTGTCCATTATTTGTCACTCTATAACTAAAATGGCTGAAATGGAAGGGGGCAGAATGCTTATTATCAGCTTCATAAACAAGCCACAAAGTATACGACGTAAACACAAAATAGGAGATCTGTATATTTCATAAAAGGAAAGAACTTTGGATTACAGAATTTACAACTTAACCATCATGAAAAAGCATTGAAAAGACCAAAGTCTACGTCAATTTGAAGCAAACCAGCAATCAAAACCGAAGCAATTGTACAAAATAATAGATGATCGCATACTTTCACTTGCGGTGACCAGTGATCAAGAGCAGTCAACGCACATGGAATCACGAAATTACACAACTTTCCCAGATGCGGATAATCAACCTGCCAACAAAAAGATGAAAATGAAAAGGCAGTAAAAAACAAAATCCCAAAAATTAAAGAACAAAATAACCCAAGAACACAAACCTGAGTAACAAACCATCTAAACTGATAAGCAGCTACAATCGCAGACCCAACAGGAGCCCTGGCGGACGTGGCAGAAATCTCATCTGCGTAAGCACTCTTGTCGCAGACCCAACAGGAGCCCTGGCGGACGCGGCAGAAATCTCATCTCCGTCAGCACTCTTATCAATTGAACTCTCTTTGATTCCATCTTTCAATAAAGGCAACACCTCAGGCATCAATTCAATCACCAATCTCTTCTCTTCATTCAGTAAACCATCACCGTCACCACCAGACATCACTCCCAACAACTCACTAATCCTGCTCTCATTTCTGCCACCAAGATCACTCTCAGCATAAGCATTGGATAGCTCCTTGAAAGCCGAGTTAGCTTCAATTGCGAGGTTCTTAGGGATCCAAGAGAGCAATTCGTGGGTGGAGGATTGAGAGGAGGATAGTAATGCACATGCTAAAGTGAAGTCTTTGATTGAATTGAAAAGTTGGGTTTCGGTGATGGCATTATTGTTGGGGTTAGGGTTAGAGTTTTTGATTGAGAGAAGAGATTCGAGTGTGGATTTTGGAGATATTGGTGTGCCTTCAGGCGGTGTGTACGGGATTTGAGAGAGGGGGCTTAGAATGGTCTCTGACAACCTGAATTAAGAACAAATAAATTAGAGATTGAAAATTACTTAGGGTTTGCAAATACGTAGAGAGAGAGGGGGGGAGAGAGAGAGCTTACTGAATTAGATGGGCATGGAGAGCTGAGAGTGAATTCCACATTTTTTTCCTCTCCAGTCGCGCTTTCTGTCTTTTATTTTTCATATTTGAATCTTTCTTATATAGCAGGCTAACACAGTGTTAAAACGGTGGGAAAAGGGAGTCGTTTTGGGTGAATGACAGGTTTTGCCAGGGAAAAGAGTCCTTTTCTTTTTCTTTTTAACAGATATGCATCTTTCAAGCTTCATCCCAAAACAATTTCTTTTTTTTTCTTCAATAACTTCTATTTGACATTGAAGTATATAAACAGTATTTTGTGCATTCAATACAAAAATTTGCTTAAAAGATCTTTAAAAAAGTAATTTCTACAGATAATTTTATAAATATTATCTCTGTACAGATATTCTTATATGAATTTTTTTTTCAAAATCCAAATCTAAATAATTTCAGAATTCAAAACGTGATTTCTTTTTATTTATTTATTTTAACATAAAAGTAAATAAAATTATTTGAATGAGAACCTAAATTAAATTTGGAAAAAAAATTATATAAAAATATTTGAAAATATAATAACAATTATTTTTTCAAAGTAAATCTGAAAAAGAAAATTATATAAAAATATTAAAAAATATAGTAGTAATTATTTTTTAAAATCATTTTTTATTTAAAAATACATTAAATAACATTTTTTTTTTAAAAAAAAAAAAAAACCTTGTTAGCACTATACTGTGGTTAATTCTTTCTCTTTCTTTCTTTTTGGGTCGAGCAAATTACTAATCTCGTGTTTATGATTGCTGCCAACCACCATGGAAAGCCCTTCAGTTTAATCCACGCGTAAATCACGATTGAGAATAGGAAGAATGAGGAAGACGAGGCGTTTCAGACAGAGCAGACGCTTATCGTATTATGACAAAATTTTCCCTGGTAATATGTGGTAACGAAACCAGATACACAAGTAAGAAGCACTAATAGCATCCAATATTTGCAATTGAAATTCCTCCAGTCATTTTACAATTTTTGGGAGTTTGAAACCCATCTATCAATCAAACACAACAAACATGCTCGCTGAGAGCTCAAGGGAGAAGTTAAAAAAAAAAAAAAAAAAAATTGAAGGCAGAACCAAGTTTTGCCTACCCCTTCCAATGGAAATCGAAGGGTTTGGAAGGAAAACACACTGAACAGTAGATAAAGCCACACGAATAGATATCAAATTAAGGAAGAGATGTTTAAGCCTCCGGCACAGGAGCAGCTGCTCGCTTCATTGATGCGGACTTGATCAGATGGTTGTAGCTGCCCTTTTCCTTGAAAAGTTGGGAAAAGTGATGCTTGCAATATAATACACCCTCAAGCGCTGCATAGTTTGATGGCGTTATAGCACAGCCACCGTGAGAGCACTTGAAACATGACTTGTGGTAGGCTTGGCTCTCCACTGTTACCTGTAGTTTTTGGAAGAACAGACCATTACCATGATCCCTGGGTTTTTTTTAGCACAGACAGAGAGAACTCGCTAAAAAGGAAAACAAATAACTTCCACGCAAAGAGAGGTGCAATTTATTTTCCTGGAAACTTTAAATTAAACCAAATTGGCAATAATAGTATGCAAAGAAGGGTAGTTGAGAGGCCTAAACTTTAAATTAAACCAATATTGGATACTCATAGCCTAGTTTCTAAAACCTTAGATTGGGAGGTAAATCGATAATGATGACAATACTGGTAGACATAGCTCATGACCATCAAACCATCTACCAAGAAAAAACTATGCACTTCTCAGCAGAAAAAAAAGGGGAAACGGAAACTATAAGCATCCAGCTATCCAAGCTAGTAGATAGGGTTAGGGTTAGGAGTTGTGATTTATTGGATGCTAAACAACTTAAAATAGTCAATTAGGATGACACAGCCTTCCGACATGGATACGTCACTTGGAGATGCATTCTATCAATGCTGTTGTCATCACAAGCTATTCAATCCATGTCCACAAGAAGAAGAAGAAGAAGAAGCAGCTGCTGAAAAGAAACCTCCTTGAATTCATCACGTTCAAATTAATGTGGATAAAATAGCCCAGGCGTAAGTCATGTATTAAGTTACATGAATCTTCATTCCTAGCTCTCTAAAAAGGTGTTTGGAAAGATGACAGTGGTAACGGAAGAAATTTAATGTGTTTTTATTGAAAATATATCAAAATAATATTTTATTATTATTTTATAAAAAATATTTTTAATATTAACATATCAAAATCACCTAAAAATATAAAAATAAATAATTAAAAGAAAGGGATAAAATTCAAATTTTGGGGAAAAGCAGTTTCAGCTGCGCATTCCCAAATACTGCAGAAATCTGTGGCCCCACCGCTTTGACTTGTCAAATAAGCCCCAACTTCTTGTGAGAATACTTCTATTCACGTTTTATTTGTTTATATGGGGCCCATAAACAAGTATTAACGAGACAGCCTCATTCGACCAGACAAAAACTCAACCGAGCCGAGCAATCAAAATTAATGAAAGGAGTTCTATCAACCAGCCTTATATGCCTGTATATCACAAAATATTTGACTCCTACCTTCTCAAGCGGATAAGCAGTTTTACCGCAAGTAGCACACTTCTCTTGTGTCCCTGAAAACATACCAGCAGCTTTGCTAGGTGACCTTGTCTGAAAACAGAACATCAATAGAGGATCAGAGACATCTCCAGCAACACATCAGTCCATAAATGAAATTCACTAAAAGAAAATAAATGCCAAAAACAAAGTCTTTGCAGGGAATATGTACCAGTTCAGGAGTTAACTTCTCAGCTGACTTTGCAGCTGTTGAAAACCAAATTAATTGAAAATTTAAAAACAAATAAAAAATTTATGGATATCAAATAAAAGAAATTGATCCCAGCGAGAATGAGAGGCATACGCGACTGAAAGTTCTTGTTGAAGTTACCGGTCTCCTTAAACAGCTGGTCAAAGTGAGGCTTACAGTACAATACACCCTCCATTGATGAATAATTGCCTAGCTGAAAAAACATAAATTGCACAATCTAATCACCACAAACCAAAAACACATAATCTACTAGTCATCCATCCATTAAAATCTGGGAACATAGTGTGTGGATATTTCCCTCTAACAAAATCCGGGAAAATACATATAAAATCATCTGTTGGTCATGAGCGATTATCCCTAAAATCACTCTATAATATACTACTGGTTTTTATATGAAAGAGTTCTAACAAATGCTGCTTAAACATATTTAACAGGTCAATTTGTTAAACAATCCATTACCTAACAGCTAAGACGAATCACTTGGGTAAATTTGTCTTTGATGCCATGTCTAACAAGTGAACGACAACCCTAACAGTTGCAAATTTAAGCATTGCCAGCTACATTCTTGACTGGATTAACAGAACAAGAGAAGAAAATAGGGTACGGAAAATATTAAGACGGTATAAGCACCTTTAACGTGCCTTTGCAGTGAAAACACTTGAAGCAAGTTTTATGGTAAGCAACCCCATCTGCTGATAGAAGTTCCATGGGATACACAGTCTTCTCACAAGCCTTGCATTTCTGTTGGGTACCAGTAAACGACATCGTTCCGAGCGAAATGTATTATACCCTTTAGATCTGATGACTGTGTGCTGCTTACCTGTCTCGGATCACCTGCCAGTCCACAAACCCACAGATCAACTAATTATCAAATGGATAAAAAAGATTGAACCTTTGCAGATTAATTAGAATCAGTCAAGACTCGTGGAAAATAAAGTTTAAACTTCAAAAGAAGCACAATAGATCAGAGAATATATAATAATGAATGTAAACTTCAGGTTTCAAGATTGATAACCGATCTGAGACTTCGGAGGAATGCAAGGACTTCAATAAAAATAAATGCGAGTTAATTAACAAGAGGAAATAGAGAACAGTAGCACGAAAACAGAGACTGCAATGCAGTCAAATCCGTTTTCCCAAGGATGCAAAGAGGAGGCGCGTACCAAATTGAGATTTGAATAGGAGAAGACGGGATTGTTCGATCTGAGGGTCAAGGGAGGTGAGTGGAGGGAATTGAAATGATAGTGGAAGGGTCGAGGAAAGTGAAGGGAGCGGGGATTGGGCGCTTTTTGTAGCGGAGCGAGATGCAACGAAGTGGATGGTGATGATGATAGAGGGAGAGAGAATTTCAGAGGTTATAAAAAATATTAGAAGACAGAAAGAGTAGAGAGAGATGAAAAATATCTTCTTCGCTGGAAGCACTTACAGGCTCCACAAACACCTTTTGTTTGTCTGGTTCAACGAACTCCATCACGCGGTTTTTTTTTTTTTTCCTCCTAATCTTTTTGGTGGGCTGAAATTACACGGTGACCCCTGTTTTTTTTTTTTTAAGTTACCCTGATAATGCTGCGCGTGGTTAAAAATAATGGGAAAGGACAAATATGTCCCCTATTCTTGATCAATTCTCCTGACAAAAGGTTTCCCAATTCTGCATCTAATTTGATGTTACCTAATTTCCCAGATTCAAACTATTTTTTTTTTTTAATTTCAAACAATAATTAAATGGATAGAGGCTGAGATTTGGTGATATACTGATATTTAATTAAACGAGGGACTCATTAAGAGATTCATTTGTTTAAGTGAGAGCGTGATTGTACGTATTTTTAAAAATTTTAAACTTTTTTAGTTAAAAATTAATTTTTTTTATGTTTTTGATGTGCTGATATTAAAAATAATTTTAAAAAATAAAAAATATATTATTTTAATATATTTGAGTATAAAAATATTTTAAAAAATAATTACAACCACGTTTTTAAATAAATAAAAAAATATAAAAGATAAGGCAATCATTGAGGAAGATATTTAAAATCAATCAATAACTTGATTAGTTAATTTAATAGGTACAAAGATAATCAAAATAATTGATAAAAATTATGGTTTGATTTAAAAAAATTCAGGAAGCTCTTTGAAAAAAATATTAAGATATTAATTTATTTGATTCATCTAGACTTCACAATTTAATCCGTCAAATTCATTGTTCGAGTAATAGACTATACTAGGTAGGGGGTGAAAAAAAAAACCGATTAAATCAATAAAATAAAAAAATAGTTGAAAAAATCAAACTATGAAAAAAACCGATTAAACCAAATAAAATATTTTAAAAAAAATTAATTCGATTCAATTTTGATTTCATGAGT